GAAAAAGACAAAATGAATGCCACAAATAAAGCTCGATTACCTTATTTACGAGAATGTGGTGGTAGCTAGAGATGGAGGGAAGGTCTTCAGTGCCAAGCACACAGACAAGGTGTCGAAGAAATCCAGCTTTGCACTGCTCCTTCGTCTCTCTCCACTGCACCATTCTTAAACTTGTTTGTGAAATTGACTATCTAATGTGTATTTCCTGGATCGGTTTACCTTGTGATCCCATCATAGAAGGAGCCATTCATGAAGCATTGCTTCGTAAATCGTCCAGGCATTTCCCATTCGTCTGCAATTTGCAGAGTACTCATCAGCATTTCATCCACCGAATTCCCCTAAACAGATATAGAAATAATTCCTCACTGATAACTTGGAATTAGAGATAAAGTATAAATCATTTGGCGTTGATCACTCCTTTCTTGGGACGTGCCACACATTCTACGTCCACCCAGAATCGTAGTGGGATTTTGTAGGATTCGCCCTGACTAGAGGTGGCCATCCGATGTAACAGTCAGTGTTTTTGTATATTCAGACAAGTCTGGTACCAATTAACCGACCCCGGAGGGATGGAAGGCTTGGTTGGCCCGGGCGACTCACGACCCAGGACTTTGATCCCTGGACCGCTCGCGTGGTAAGCGGCGCCACTTGCCACTAAACCACTTCCGCCCGAGGATAATACGAAGATAAACAGCGCTGAAGGGTTTATGAAGTTGGATCACATTTTGACAAACAACTGCAAGTCATTCAAACGAATACAATCCCTCTTCCCGTTTTGAATTTCAGTCAGAAGTAGCAATAAACACCTTCACTTCCATTTCAAAACAGGCCTCGATAACCTGAATTAACTCACCGCTGTGTTGAACTGATTGATTAGTTTTGTGAGGTTGATCCTATTAAGCCATTTCACAGCTTCGCGTGACAATGACACCTGCACAGCACCTTTGACGATGAAGAGTGGCATTTTCATTGCCTCAGGAGATGGACGCAAAGTTTGGTCTGGAATATTTAGTTTTTTTTCAAAGATTTTAAGATTGAGATTTAATAACTGAATATTTTTGAGTACTAGTTTGCAAACCACGTCCGGTCTCACTTTGAGTACATCGCCTGCAAATCGGCAGAATTCTAGGCACCTCTAGATAGCAAATCGAAATTGAATATGTATCAGTCGAGGTTGAAGTCAAAACTTCAGTATGGCTAGAAGTTTCTCCAGTGCGTCTCCTAATGATACAGCCAGCCAAGCGAACCATGGCTTGGCTACGCTTTCCGCGCAAAAAAATGTCTTCTGTTTCTGTCACGGTTTCTTTCCAGGAACACTGCCATTTTCACTTTCCGCTTGAGAGCGAACTGAAGTTCTGTCACTATTCACCAAGGCATGTTATCAGTAAACGTTAAATGAGAAGAGACTCTATTTCCGGGCTCTTGGTGAAATTGGGTGTTTTTTCATATTCCGCTTATCTTGATCAAAAGCAGGAGGAGTTTTCAAAGCCTTCTCATCTTATTTCGCGTAACGGCATAGCAAGAAGAATGTGTTTTTCATTTCGTAGCTTCGATAATTGACGTGGCAAAATGACCACTACGCTTACTCTTCTTTTTGGCCAATTTGCCTCACCCTGCTTTCTTATTCGTGACTAAAAACCTAAAAAAAAAACCTAAAACCTAGAAATAAAAAAATTGATGACTACCAGCAAGTTTCATCAAGCAAAAATGAAATACAACGAAAAAACACGGGGTGGCTGTATCATTTGGAGACATAGGAAAAGCGATCCTTCGTGAAAAATTAGCAAAGAAAAATTTTGCATTTCCAACCTAAAATTTTGTGTTGATTTTCGAATTTGCGATCAAATTTGAACTTCTTTTCTTCTCCTTGAACAGTTCTCCGAAGCTTTATGGAAACGAAGATTTGAACGATTTGCAGGTGGCTGTATCATTGGGAGACGCAGTGTACAAGATAGCCCGATCCTTCAGCGCGAATAGAACACTCAGTTTAGCGCGATAATACCTAGCGCCACACTAAATACGCCAGCGCCAAAACGAAGTTACCCAACAAAATCGCCACGATCAATAAGCTAGGGAGGTCCCGTCAGGTAGTTCAGCTACCACTATCCGTACCATTTTGCATGATAACGTCATGCCGCTTTTTTTCGAGAATTCCCTGCAATCACTTATCGCCTGATATTAGTGTTTATGAGACAGAATTAGTTCCAGATAGATTTTTCAGCGATTTTAGTCCTGGTTTAATTTTGAAGCGACTCCTATAACGAGCTTGCTGAGGTTCCTAGTGCCAACAGGCCTTATGCTCGTGCTCACCGAGCCAAATATTCTCATGGATAAGTTTCCAGCCAAAACCACAAACGGGAGGCTAATTTTGCGAGGGAACTGCAATCGATGGCAAGAAAGGGCGGGTAGTGCCGAGAAATAAGTAACTAGTCGCAGGATAAGCACTAAGGCAGAACATACCTGGGAAGACCTCTAGAGATTCTCCATCCCATTTCATGTTCTGATCGTAGTGACATGAAGAACATGGGCCGATTTGGACATCATTCGAACCATTTAGAGCTTGGAAAATACGCTTCAACTCTTGGTTCGTTCGAATCACGACGTCGTGAGTCTGCAAAAATAGAGCGGATACAGCATCAGCCCTCGATCATTTTGATCGTCATTCTCAAACCACGGATAATTCATTTTATTTTTTTTATTATACCAGATTAGTCCCCCGTCAACCGCCGGGACCTTCCTTTCCTGCGCAAGCTTTCTATCCTCCGCTATGGTCCCTTCCTCCTGTGACACCAACACCTCGTGGAAGTGACGCGTATGCAACACAATGGTGTTTCATACAGTAGAAGGGACACAATCATGATATGACGGTAGATTTTTCGCTTCCCTTCCTCATCCTCCCTTCCTCTTACAGAGCTATAGATTCCAAATCTATAGAGTATGCATCTCCCAGAGCTGGCAGCGATGTAGACAATTCTATTTTACCAGCTATTGGTAGGATTTGAGAGCACTCTCCTCTTCCAAAAGCACACCTCTCCATGAACGCTTCTTCATTGTCACAACCACGAACTCTTATTGAAGCCCTTAATCACCCATCACTGACCCAATTTACCAAGACTTGTAGAAATTTCTTCAGAGCTTTATTGTCATTGATTTTGAATTGGACTAGAATTTAACTGCGGGGTTACTTTGATTCAAAGAGCAGGGTCGCCAAATCAGTTCGAAATCAGTTTGGAAGGTCTAATGTCGTCGTCACAGAACCCGGCATAAAAAAAACACTTAAACAACGCCAGCACATGGTGCTGC